AGATTTCCCCACCCTGCCTATGTTGGATAGAGGAGCAAAGGGGTTCACCCAGCAAAGCCTGGGTGCAAGGATTGTGTTTTATCCCCGTAATGCCTTACGCGGTTTTCCGAGCTTTGGTCAACTTGTTGTGACCTTCCGTGGTAGCAGAAGGCAGAGGCACTGCGCTGTAGCAGGGCAATCATCCATGAAGGTGGGTTGCTTTCTGCAGTTGCACTACGAATGGCAGCCCAGTGCTGTCTGCGACGTAGGCACAGGTGCAGCTGGTGACCTTTTCGGACTGGCTGCATCTCCACATGGTCCAGGACAAGGCAACCACGGTGCTCTCCTTGCAAGCGTCTCGTGGCTGTTCCCTTGGTCTCTGACCTCCAGAGCACACACGGAGAGATCCATTTGTGCGAGCCCTTTGCTCAGCGCCTTAGACTTGCCAGGTTTGGCAAGTTATTGTCAGGGAACATTTTCACACTCTGCTACAACCTATTTTTGATGTTTTCCTCCAACCCTGTAGTGATCACCCAACAGCTGGTGTAGGTTCCTGGTTGATCTGTGGTAGCACACCAATACCAAGACAGGGCCACTAATTTTGTATCCTGTATTTGCAGCACACGGGCTTGTGTCAGTGAATGAACAGTGGTAAAGATCATTTGGGGGATGCAAAATATTAAGAGAGCCACTGTTGAACATGTCGTCTTTGGTCTAGTCTGCTAAGGAAGCGTAGCTGATATGACCAAGCTTGTCTTACCCATCGGTGCTCTCCTCTTGGACCCGTTGGCCCATTTCATGCATTTGGTTCCTAAAGGCATTGTGAAAACTGAAGGGAACTAAATGAGTGTTCTCACGGAGGAAAAGCAAGAGTTCAATATTTATCGCATTTTTTGTTGGGCTGGACAGCAAATGCATAGCTTGCAACCACCTACAGCACGTCTTCCTCCTGGTCTATGCAATGCAGGAGGGTTCTGAGGCTGGAGGACTGATCTGTAAGAAAGCTAGCTGAGTTAGTTGTCACGTGTCTGCGTGTTTTGGTGTTTAAACTAACTTTTTAAGCATTATTTAACCCCTCCCATTCATACTGTCAGGGCCCACTCCCAAAGCAGGGTGCAGCCTGGGTGCCATATCTGCTTATGTTATCATTCCTCTGGTGTTATAATCCAGGCAGCCCCTGATGGGGGGTGCTGCCATCTTGCTGCCATCCTGCCCTCGTCATGCTGTGTGGGGGGGTGTTTAGGAGCTGCTCCAAGTGAAGGAGAGCCTCGACTCCGCAGAAGTTCCCAAGAAGTAACCGAGCTCATCTTCAGGCCCCGTCTGGGCACCCGCAGTGCACAGCAGGCGTAAGGCAGTTCCACTTCACAAGCAAAATCGTCCAACACGCGGCACCTTTGCACTCACGGGTAAGGTCTGAGTCTGTTCCCCGAGGCCACCTGGGTCTCCTAGCGCTCCCTCGATCTGCAAGCGCACCCGGGGAGATGGGATTAGTGCTCTCCTGAGCAGGGTCTCCTTACAACTGAACGCTGGGTCTGAACAAAGCGTGTCGCGGCCCAGGGGTGCATTTGGCACAGCCGCTGTGGGAGCTCTGGGCATGGAGGGGCACAGCCGGGGCTGTGTGCTCTGTGCCGGAGACGCGCCCCTGCTTGCTCTGCCGCGTCTCTGCCGTGCTGAACAGCTCTAAAAGAAGGTGGTTTTTTCAGCTATATTATTCAGCTGACGGAGCAAACAAGTCCCGCTGCAGCGGTGGGCTCGTCTTGGGTTTCTGTACTACGAGCAGCGTGTGGGCTTCAGTGGGAGCCGATGGGCAGCGTGTGACTTTGAGACTCAGATTTTGGCTGCTGTGTGGTTTACCCCTCTGCATTTCTCTCCTTCCCTGTGTCTATTTAGACTACAGGCTCCGCAGGAAGGAGCGATACCCTGCGTACGTCCATCCAACAGCTATCGCAATGGGTCCCAAGCTTATTTGGGCATCCAAATATCACTTCCATGGAGACGTCCATCCCGTGGATGGACTTCTCGCTTTATGTGACTGTTGTCTACTGTTGCCTTGTGGCTGTTGCCCTTTTGATTTTTAAGTGATCCCTTGGCAAAGACTGGAGGAGCCTGAGACCGTGTGCTCTCCAGAGGGACAGGATCTGGTGTCCTTAGCCAAGTGAGACCGTGGCAGCTGGAGATGCTGCTTTCAGCCAGATATGGGTAAGAGCTCAATGTTTTTGGTTTTTTTTTTTTTCTCAGGATTCAAAACAGTGTTTCAGCCCAAGCTGGACAGTAAGAACCTTCAAGAGGACATGAAGCTCTTCCTTGTGTCCTCTAATCTGGGTGTACCTCAATGGTCAGGTGAGCCCAAGGAGCTTTAGGTGTTAATAGAGTCTGCCAGCTCCCCAGGTTTGACAGATGTTGATCAGAGCCGTTTTCCAGGCTGTTTGTACTTAACCTTTTCTGCTCCAGAGGAGTTTGGACCTATGGCACATGAATGCTGGGTATCTTGTCTTCCCAAACCCCTGTTACCATCCAGGCCTGCTTGTGCTTACATTTGCTAACGCGTACTCAGCAGCCAGGCTCTCCAGTTGAACTCCTGATAACAAGGACATCTTTTACCCCACCCCATGGGTTGCTGCCCCCAGTTTGCCTCTCTGCTGCCTGCACAGATCCTGTGCTGCAGGGACAAGGTGGGATCATAGAATCACAGAATGGTTTGGGTTGGAAGGGACCTTTAAAGGTCATCTAGTCCAGCCCCCCTACAATGAGCAGGGATGCCCAGGACTTGGCTGGTTCTTACCCCAGCAGTCATAGCCTGGTTATTTCCTTACCGGTTTTGTTCCTATTTCCTTCCCTGCGTTGTGCACATCACCTCATACTGGAAGACTGCAGAAGGCAATGAGTATTCCCTGCCCAAATGTTATAAACTACCCCCAGAGCTGGAAAAGCCAACCCTTCAGAAGACCGTCTCAGGTCAACTTCTGTTACCATCTCATCAGTTTCCACATCTTGTGGTTCTCACTTCCCTATGGGATGGCTTGGCCTCCTTTGGCTCCCATGCCCTCTTACCAATCAAATGCAGCTTTATCATTCCTGCGTTCGTATTTGGCATGGATAGCTCCGGACAACTCCACCCGGCAGAAGTATCTCTCACTGTCGCTCCAGGTCAGATTGTCAATCCTGATGGAAAGGTCCTTGTGCCGAGGGTTGCCGAGCAGTTTGTACTTGTTTTTGTAGCTGATGGCAGTCTTGCAGAGCTCGCTGGCGCTCTGACTAACGCACTTGAAAACTATCGTGCCATTGTAAGGTTCCTTGATCCTCCAAATGGCAGTGAGAGTCCGGTCAAATGTTTTGTAGGGGTGTGTGAAAGTGCAGGGCAGGATAACCATCTTCCCGAGTTCCCCAGTAACATCAGATGGGACATGAACGGACCAGCCATTGGACTGCACACCTAGAAGCAAAAAGAGATGATCAAGACTGATTTATCTGGAGTGTTTAAGAGGGAAACTGGGCATCCTTCCTGCACCTGCTGTGTTGTTGGTCAGAAAATGGATGCTCTGTTCCCTTGGTGGGCCCTGTGCTGTCCTTCTTGCTGAGGACTTGCAGATGATTACATAGCTCAATTACGGTGGCTAGATACGGTACCAGTCTGCAGCAGAGCTCAGGGGACTGACTAGCTCACGTTGAAAGTGATTTAATTCCTAAGCAGGCCTCTTGTTTGTAAAGTGAACAATAGCATCTTAAGTTGTTTAACACAGTCTTTTGCAGCTAACAGACATTTATGTGGTTGGAGGAACAGACTTCTTTTTTATTTAAAAAAAAAAAAAAAAAAAAAGAAAAAAGCTACAAATAAGTTTTTATTTTTAGAGAGAGATCTGGTGGCTTTAGGCACTGAAATGCAGTGAGTGTTGCAGCCCTGTGTCTGAGTCCATGCACACACACACACACACTCCTATGGACGTTGTATTTGTTACACTAATCAGTTGGCGGCTGCGTTACCCCTGGGGAGGGTAGTAACAACTGACGCCTCTAACGATCAATGCTGCTATCATCACAAAGTTGCATCTGATTCGTAGGACGTGACGGGGTCTGAATAAAGACTTGGAGATACTCATCATACAAGGACTGGTGAGAACAGGGAAGTTCCCTGTAGCAGCTCCAGTCGTAGGAAGGAGGATGCCCTTGACAGGAGAGAAAGCATCTCACTGTTAGCAGAGCAGGTTGTCACTATGTGGACTCTAGCTGCCAGTATCTTCCCAGACAGGCCTTGTCCTGGTGTCACGGCGAGGGAAATCCTGAGTTTTCCAGCTGAGATGTCACAAACGATTGGGATTTTTCCCTCTTGGCCAGGTTTGGTCACAGTAAATCCTAGCGCAGTCTGGGGAGCTGAACCTCACTGCCACCAGACCCAGTCTGATCGTTTCTGTCCAGTGATGAAAACAGCCTTCACCTGAATGGACGCTCCCCACCTTGGAAGTATATAGGGAAAACTCAAGGTCTCATCTGTTTCCCTTCCCCAGGAACCAACAGCATCAACAAACAGCACCTGTAGGCAGTGCTTTCCATACAGGTACGTGTATCTATCCACTGCCTTGCTAATTGCAACAGCTGTAACAGCAGATTGTGGCTTCAGGAATGTCTATGGCTATGTTCCTGTCTTATAAAACTCGCTTGATGGCTTCATTAAATCAGGAGCTTTCCCCTCAATAGCTGAGAATAACTGTGAAAAATGTAAAGGCTTCCTGTAAATAACTGCCACTGTCGTGGTTTAACCCCAGCCGGCAACTGAGCACCACCCAGCCGCTCGCTCACCCTCCCCGCCCCCCCGGTGGGATGGGGGAGAGAATTGGAAGGGTAAAAGTGAGAAAACTCGTGGGTTGAGTTAGAGACAGTTTAATAATTGAAATAGAATAAAGTAAAATAGTAATAATAATAAAAGAATATACAAAGCAAGTGATGCATGATGCAATTGCTCGCCACCCGCCGACCGATGCCCAGTCAGTCCCTGAGCAGCGGTCCCCCCCCGGCCAGCTTTCCCCCAGTTTATGTACTGAGCATGACGTCCCATGGTATGGAATGTCCCTCTGGCCAGTTGGGGTCAGCTGTCCTGGCTGTGCCCCCTCCCAGCTTCTTGTGCACCTCCAGCCTCCTTAGTTGGTAGAGCATGGGAAGCTGAAAAGTCCTTGACTAGTGTCAGCACTGCTCAGCAACAACTAAAACATCGGTGTGTTATCAACATTGTTCTCATCCTAAATCCAAACCACAGCACTGTGCCAGCTACTAGGAAGGAAATTAACTCTGTCCCAGCCGAAACCAGGACAGCCACCCATCCCTGGTCTAACTGACTTCACTGTGGTCTGTGGACATTCAGCTGTCGGGTTATTCGTGTAAACCGGAAGATAAGATTTGTTGCTTGTTCATATACTTGTTCTCCATAATATTTGACAAATACCTCAGTGGCGGTGCAGCTCGTATTAATCTATTGTGTGCTGCACAATGGACAAAGGCCAACGTAGGACCAGTTCTCTGCCATTAAGTTATTTATCTGGAAATGGCGCCAAGCCGGTATTTTGATTACTGAGATCTGGAGTCGGGCTGCCTTGTCCTTCACTATAACTGTATGAGTACCTTTTGCAGCCCAGGTAATCTAATGTACAAGGCTACATGGCCACAGGAGCTCCAGGAAGCTCATGGACTTTGAACACAAGGACCTGGCAGCGAAAACAAAAAATGCTGTTGCTTTCTAGTTTATTTCATGTTATTTTGTTTATTTTACAGCATGTCACTGTAACCCTTTACTTTTGGAGAACTGCAGATCATGTGCTTTTGAGTACGTGGTTTGCTTTCCTCTGCCACCTTTTTGGTTTGCATTTTTTTTTTAAATCTGAAGCAAAGAACATTATTTTTAGCACTTAAACAGCCCCTTGCCTTCCACATGAGACATAATGTTAAAAATAAGTGCTTCTAATGTCACCAGCTCCACCCATTTCTATGGAAACACAGTTTGCCTAGGTTATGAGTGGAGGGAGTTGTCAGCATCTTGTGTATAATTTAACCTCAACCTTAAAGCTTCAGCATGGTAGGTCTTCCATGTCTTCCTCTTGCTAATATCCAGCCTCCATTTGTTCCTGGGATTGAGGCTCTCACGAGAAACAGAGAAGGTCATAGGCAAATAGCCTACACACCTCACACGAGGGAACTCCTGAAAGGAGTTGTCGGGTCAGTGTATCTGCTAGTTGTCAGTGGAAAGGTCATGAAGAGAATAGCAAGATCAAGAGCTGAAGACCACACTAGCCTTGCTCTAGCAAAGACCGTTTGACAGTATATCTAAGCAAATCCCATTGAGTTTAATGGAACTTGAGTGCATACTTGAAGTTAAACGTGAGCTTAAGTGCTCAGTGGAACTGGAGCAAATTGTGTCTGTTGCATAATAACTGCTATGAACGCGAAAGAGCACTTCTGGGTGGTGACGGAAACGCTGCATCCAACTGACAATGCAGGGGGAAATTTAGATGAAGATGAACTCCCCGCACAAGTTAAAAAAAGCAAAAAAATGCAAAAAAAACCCCAAGCCAAGGACCTCTCTGACAATTGCAGAGTCAAGGCTTTGAGTTTTTCCGGTATTCTTACATGCCTGTGAAATTTCAGGATCCTTTTAAGCAGCACGATGGATGGTACAATCCTCGGAGAGTTTATTGTGCCAGGCACTTCCCCTGGCACTTGGACTAGAGTGAGAAGAAAAGCCCTGATCAGACAGGGATTTGTAGCAAGCTCAGAACTCACCCTTCCTGGAGATGTGAAGGAGGCACAGAAGAAACAAACCGAACTCTCTCATGCTGGTTGACGTTCTCCACTGAGATGTATCAGCAAACCAGAACCGTCTCTACTACCTCTGAGCTGCTGGTCTTGCAGTCACAAAAGATTTTTCTGGGGATGGAAGAAGCTGTGGTTTTCCTCTCCTTGGAGGGAATGAGCTGTTTAGCTGAACCAGCTCTGGATTCAGATATTAATAGTTTTGTGGTCAGTCATGTGAAAAATTCAACAGAGGGAATCAGAGTATTACCATTTTCCATCTAAAGGAAGGGGACTGCAGATTGAGGCTGCAAACACCCACTCCATGTGTGTGATGGTGCAAGAGGGGATGGCTTTCCCATCAGCGCTGCCAACTCCCTGATCTGGACGAGGTCCTTGCAATCTGCCTAAGGATGTGGCAAGTGAGACCCTTGCTCTCCTGGCCTGAGGTAGTTCATCCTCCTCAACCCAGAGCCTGCAAGCCAACTGTATTTTACTCCTGGTGCTCATCGGTTGTTGTCATCCCTGGGTGTAACAAAACCACCCTCTCCTTTCAAAATCAGCTGGGCATTTGTGCCAAGGTTCCTTCAGCAGTGGAAGAGTGCTCTGGGGTCCCCTGATGAGTTGCGAGTCATTCTCCTTGTTAACCTGTGTGTGAAATAAGCTAAGCTTCAGCTTTTGCCCTGAATTCTTGTACAAATGCTCGCTCTTTCCTTCTGGGTTTAGCTTTAGCAAACTTGCTCTGCAGCTTGCTAATCTGCAGAGCTCTGGGCCTGTGGAGTGCTGACCATGCTCCCCCCCACGTCATCTCCCGTACGGTGATCCCGTGACGTTGCTAAGTCTAGCCTTGGAGCGTGTATTCCCTAACAGGGCTTAACTTGAGGATTGCTGCTTTTGCTTCAGGCTGGGGGAAGGGCCGATGTCTGACTCCCTCTTCTCATCTCCGCAGCTACGCCGCTGGTGGGTCCCACTCCTTCTCTCTGGTTTGGGGACGGGGACAGCAGGAACCCACACGGTTCCTTGCCGTAGGCAGCGGCGGGTGCGCAGCCACTGGAGCTCTCCCAGAGCCAACGTAAGATGCTGCTGCTCAGTAGCTGCCGCCGCTTTCGCTGTGCCAAGAGCCAGCGCCTTCCCCCAGCAGAGATGCCAGGGCTCCCCTTGGCTCCCCACCTCTTCTTAAGCTCTCCGCATATGTTCCCTTCTTAACTTGCTGTGCAAAAGCTCCCGCAAGAGGGACTTGGAGATTTGGCAGTATTAAGCGTGTTCGCTGCTTTCCGAACTCTTTCTTTGTTCTGGTCACAGAGTTACTCTCCCAGTGTCTGTGAAGGGAGGGATTTCTGTTTCCCAGACCTTTTGAAGGAGGCCGTGAGAGTACCTAGCTATTATTTACGGTGACTTGGACCCGTCGCTAGTCAGCAGAGGGTGGTATTATTTCAACCAATGACTTAGAGCCCTGCTCAGTCCCTACGCATGTCTTCCCGGAGCAGGAGGATCAGGACCCAGTCCTCTAACTGCTTTGCAAACTGTCCTTAATAGCTGTAAAAAGTAGTACGTGCCATTGTCAGCAGAGAAACCTGAGGGTATGGGTGGTGGAAACAGCAAGTAGGAGACCTGTATCCTTATCCCTTCTGTGTTATGTGTCTTTTCTGTGTACCTTCC